CGAAGTCAGAGTCGCAGTTAGCCTCTTCAGGAGATGTCTCCCCAACGTGGAATCCCAGTACAGGATCCTGGGTGAAAGAGATGCTTCGGGCTCTTTGGTTTAGGGTTTTGGGGTTTGGGGGTTTAGGGGTTTATAGGGTTTAGGGGTTTAGGGGGGGGACAAGGGAGCTCTTTGCTGTAACCGGGCTGCTGGACAACGAGGCCTGCTGCAAAAGGGGGTTTAGGGGTTTGGGGTTTAGTATTTAGGGTTAGGGGTTTAGGTCTCGGCCATTCAACGGTTCGTACGCAGACATGCCCTTGTTTGCCTGCTGGAGCTGCGCCAGTAGGAAGTAAGATTACATTACTCGCAAGAGCGCAGGCCAACGGGCTGCTTGCATGCTTTCGTTCGAGTGTGATTCCTGTACATTCCGGATTCTGTTGGGAGGTATTTTGATGTCCTACTGTAGCTCGGAAATCAGGCTCTAAGTTTTCCATGACAGTTCTTCTGACAGCTCTGTATTTAAAAGTGCCGAACCAACGAAAGTTGTGAAGGCAGCGATGTCGCCGCGTGCCTTTCCACTGCCAGGCAAGTCCGATCAGTGAAGCCAGCGAAGTTTCGAGGGACTCTGCCTGCCGAGATCTTTGAGAACCGCACGGTCCGGACAAATCCATGCTGTCAGGAATGAACCCGGATCCGGCTCGGCGACTGTGGCAGCATTCAGGGCCACAAAAGAGCGCAGTTCCTTCGAGGTTGTCTCATGCTTGCAGCCTCCTAGCCCTATAGACATCTGCTGCGCTTGAGTCTCTCCTGAGACTCACCCAAGGCGTGTGCATCCATTTCCTGAGCCTTCAGTTCTGTCACTGCAGGCTGCCGAAGCCGCCAAAGCCTGGGCATCAGGCAGCGCGAAATTCGCTTGGAAGCTCTGGTTGTGTCTGATCTTTGAGTGCCGGTTTTGGCGAACCCTGCGCCCTGTGCCGCATGCCGGTGGCAGGTTCCTTTGACATTAGCTTTGCCACCAGGCCAGCATTCAGAAGTCATGTTCTCTCCTACGACGACGCCTGTAGCTGCACTTCAGAACGTTGCTCGGGCGTCCATCTGCGGCAGTGATAGTGTTGCGAGTGGTGCCCTGGCTCCTTTCCACTGTTGACCCAGATGCCGGTTACCCTAATCTACTTGAGCTTGAAGTTGTCTCAGCTGGCGGCAAAGTGCAGCTTTGCCTGAAGGTTTGTTTGTAGCTCTTGTTCAACTCCTTTCGTGCAGATCTATAATGCCAGGAAGGGCAATCGCTGTGAGGACCATCAGCCCGCAGCGTGGTTGTGTCAGGCGCACGTTGAGAGCAATTGTGGGTTCTCAGACGCTTCGATGCCAGCAGAATGGAGAATGCAAGCAATAAGTACCGCTACGTAACTAGAACTAGTCAAAGCAGTTCGAATGAGCACGCAAATGCAGGGTGAGGCAGGAGATAGTGTGGACAATTAGGATGCCGATGTAGCTTCGATTCGCTTGCCCTGCCGTAAAACAGTGCAGCGTGTACAAACTCCGGATCGTGAGTTTTGAAATTTGCAACTGACAGGTCGGGTTCCCAGTCCCAGCAGACCCCCGGCAAAGGGCAGGCACATCCTTACTTAGCGCGAGGACAGGGAGGGAGACAGAATCGTCATCCAGTTTAGCTGTGCTGCACCAGGTTGAGACAGGTGCGTGTGGATTTGGTCGGCTGATGCACGGATTTGGGCCCAAAAGCCACACACACTGGAACAGCCAGGCAAAGAGTGCAAACAAGCAACGACATTCTGCGCGTATGCGCACGCAAATTGCTCTCTCTCTCTCTCTCTCTCTCTCTCTCTCTCTCTCTCTCTCTCTCTCTCTCTCTCTCTCTCTCTCTCTCTCTCTCGCACAACTAAAATCTGGACATGCGCAGTCCCGTGAGTGGAATCCTACTCTTGACATGGAGCCACACCCACTTCCCTGTAGATTCTGTCCTCAGGACAACAATCCGCCCAGCAGCTCCGAGCACCTCAAGCTGCGCAGGTGAGCATCGCACTCAGAGAAGGAGGCCACTTTGCCTAGGACCCAGAGTAGGCCCTTATTCCCTTTTTTAGGGTGTAGGTTCCCTTATAACCCCCTTTAAACCAAAAAGGGCACCCTTTTTATTCCTAGGTTACTCTTAGGTCTAGTTGCCCAGAGTGCCAATGGAAGACGGTTGTGGTTCGACGTTTGGCTCAGGCAGCCCGTACCTCACCACAACCCTGGCTGATGCCAGCAAGATGCCTCAACAGGAGCAGGCCAGGACGGAAAATTCTTGCAGCCGCGGAAGTCGTTTCTATGTTTTGCTGCTTTGCTCAGGAAGCTGCTCGTTTGGGGGCCATGCGACTCGCAGTGGCTCAGAGTCGCCCTCCGCCCGGGGCCCCAAGTGCTCTATAGTGATCTATAGTCTCTCTTATGGACTTGCCCTGCAGGCCGACCCCTTATACGCGTCTTAGCCCGCTCACATCAAGAAGAGGTGTAGAGATTAGAGTCTACTTGGGTGGTTCTCTGCAAGGCCTCCTGCACCAGCAAGTGGACGACGTCTGGCCCCTGGGAGAAGGGAGATGCCCGCTGCCCGCCTTTCTGCCTCTGAACACTCTCCTCAATTTCTTTCCCCCATACAGCCCATAGGCCCTCTTCGCATGGAGATTTGACCTGGGCCGACAATGTTAAAAGTTTCTTCGGCACTAGCGAGAGGGGTGGATTCTGGTTAGATGGCAGAAGTGAGAGCAGCACTGTGAGGGTGAGCGCTGCTGCCTGTTGGTACCACCAATGGTGTGGCGACAGGTAGGCAGTAGTAATTTGCACTCGTAGTAAGCAGCAATTAAGTAGCAAATGGAGCCCCGACTCCGGCAGCATCCCTGTTGGGGCATGCTACTGCATCTCTTTGACTGCCAGCGTTTAGGAGTGAGCTTTGTGCCAAACCAGGGTTTTGGCACAGACACCGAGATCCAACAGGTCCAGACAGCCAAGGCATCAAAGGCCAAGTCCAGATCGTTGTGGTCGCATGGCCTAGCAACACTACATCGCAGGTTCTACAGCAAGTGCCGCAACCGCTTTTGCGTGAAGGTGTGTGTGTACATACATACATACATACATACATACATACATACATACATACATACATACACACACATGCATACGTACATTACATCAATACATGCATGCATGCATGCTTGCATGCATACACACGTAGAGGTTTACATGTTATATATATATATATATATATGTATATACATATAGGAAAAGTATTGGCGCATGTGCCAAGGTGACTGGCCTTCTACAAGTTCTACAAGAGTGGAGATCTGAAGCGGTTGCAAGCGAAGGGTTGGCGAGGGTTTCCACACACGCTGCATCCCAAACGGCATGAGAGATCGGTCACACGTTGAATCTTCCAGCCGAGTTTGAAACCACAGGCATTTCAAAAGCGCAACGCCCCTCGAATTAAATGTCGGCCTGCCTATTCGCCTGGATTCATGCACGTTAGAAGGCGTATCAATGCGTGACTCCCCGTTGTGCCTCGAGTTCAGATTTGGATGAAGGGCATATTGCTCTACAAGTAGCAAGTGTCGGTCATATACGTAAGTCGGTGTTACATGCCAAGAGTCCCACGACAAAATGTGTTAATGCTGCTCCAGGCCGTCTCAGTAGCTAGTCTCAGCAGTCCTTTGAACACTGTTACGTCCGATCTGTCCTGAACCTGCGTGGAACCCTTGCCAGACCAGCCGACATCGTTTCTCGCCTGCGGAGCATTCTACGAAGAGGGCGGCAAAAAGCCTGCTGCACTTCAGCTCCAGCAGTTGCAGCTGCAGATACATAAGCCGGCCCGATTCTCTACGTGCTTCGAGTTGAAACGCGTCTGGAAGAGTTGGTAAAGGATCAGAGTAGGTAAGTGTGTCTCAATCGAACTTGGAGGTAGATGCTCTATGTGGGTTGAAAGCATATCTTAGCTCGGTGTTCTGCGCACAACAGAATCACATGTCTGGAGAATGCGTGCCTGCATGAACCGTGGATGTCGAAACGCTGGTCTGCAGTCGGATTATATAGGCAATCGTCGAGTTTCTGCGTTCTTTGTGAATTAGAACCGATTGGACAATATGGACATGCTACAGCAACCTACTGCCTGAATAGTCTGAACGTCTTGAATGCACTGCCACAAACGGAACAACATCTTTGTCAAAGAGATTGGACAGAGCCGAGAAGCAATGGGAGGGTTCCAGACGGCATGGTTGTGTACAGAGTGCGTAACCTCGTTACATTGCTAATATGCCATGGAACAGTTACTCGTAGCAGATGCTAGCGGGTCCTCCAGCTTGCTAATTCCCCAGAGGCCCCATAGTAGTTCCTTTTTGGGATTACCGTATAGGATTCTGTATATGAACCCCAAAAAGGAACTACTTTGGGGCCTCTGGGTCCCAACCAAAAGTGAGCCAGGTTAAACCTCGCAGATCCAAGTCAGCTCCGGCCAGATTTGCACCTGCGTTCCAGCGAAAGCATCTTTCAACTTTCAACCTAGGGTTTAGGGTTTAGGAGAACTGGCACAGCTTTGGCTGTGAAGGCTCAAAATGGGGCCCATACTGGACATCTCATGAGACGGCGGTGTCCCGAAGGGACGCAAGCCAGATTGCTCAGAGATGTCGCAGACACGGAGAGAGAGAGCCCTACAAGAGAGGCAAAACAGGTGCAGCTGCTCGTAGGTTCCCCTTCCAGCTCGGCTGCATATCTTTGGAATCATCACCGTCCCGCTTTTTCCTTCATTCGCGCGGTCTTCCACGGTGCTTCTTACAAGCGCATCATGTCGAAACTTGTCAGTGGTATGATTTTTGTCCAATGAGCAGGTGAACTGTGAACTTGTACAGTCGGGTCGTTTCGGCTTCTCCTTGATACGACTTGGCCAAGGCACTCCGCATCGGGCATGGCACTGGAAACAATGGCTGCTAGTTGCACAGACGACCCGACTATAGATCTAACAATGCTTTGTTCCGTGTCGCGCGGCCATGACTGCGGATGCCCTGCAGGCCGGAACACTGGACGGAGAAAGCTTGTCCGACAGCACCGTTCACCACGACCTCTCATGCCCGCTGGCTTGACAAGGTGCGGGTCCTCCGCCTCACCGGCGAGCCAGTGGAGCTTGCAGTGGCATCAGAAGCCACTGTTCACGAACTGCCACTTGGCCTCGGCATCACCTCGGAAAGCATCGGCTTTGGAATTCTGGGGTGGGTGTGTGTGTGTGTGTGTGTATGTGTGTGTGTGACTATTCAGGACATAGACATACACAGTTCACAAGTCTCTGGAAGCCTGCAGTGATTAGACCCAGGCTTAACCCCCGAATTGTGCACTGTATGTCCAAGCCCTTGAAAACTCTTTCACTGCGCTCGTCGTAAAGAGTCTTTTCGGAAGCGCAGACGGCTTTCACCCAGACAGACACAGAGACACAGCCCCAGCAGTGCCCAAACGGCCACGGCAACAGCGGATGGCCTCAGCACCTTCCATGATCCATCTTGTCAGACTGAAGGAAGCTCCTTCTGAACGAGACCTGTGACGTGCCGTACTTCTGTCAAAAGGCGCTCTGTGGAAATGCCTTTGGGTGGTCAGATTCCGTTACGGAGATCACGCATGCGCCAGCGCTTGTACATTTGCATCGCACCCAACATGGGATTCGTGATGGATGTAAATGGATGTAAGCTTCCTGCTCCACAGCATTGATTGCATGATGTTGGATGTACAGAAGCAGTTCTATGGCTTTCTGGGTCGTGCTGCCGTTGCCGTTACCGAAATAACTGTACAAACTTATGTCGGACTGGCAGTATGGAGCTGCGCACCCAAAGCTTCATCACACCAAGGTCTCGAACATGCAAACCTAGCAAAGCGCTGCCTTAGACGGCAGCTTCAGCACAACTGGCGCAAGTGCTTCGCTTTTTAGTGTGTGTGAACCTCCTTGAGGTTTGAGGTTGTAGCCATTTGACTCACCGTTTGCAGGAGGTGCTTGGGTTGATGGATCTTCTGCACATGAACTATCTGGCAGTCGGGTTAAGGAGAAGATTGTTGCAGGAAGGTGCTGGCTCCCGTGATTACGGTGTGTGGGCTTATGTGGGCATGAGTAAGATTCCGTTGCTGGCATCTTCTGGCAACAGCTGCTATCTGTCAGCCTGTTGTCTTAGCAGAGAGTGGCCCCTGTGGAGCTGGTCCTGCGTGAAACGCCAGCGTGCAGTGTTTTGCGTGAGAGGTAATGCTGGGCCACGCGCTGCTCCAGGCTACAGAGCCCTGGCTGATTTCTGGTGTGACATGTATGCGGCCACCGGTCTAACTGCAGAAGCGGCGTGTGCTGATGCAAGGGCGATCTAGCTGCGCCTGCATGGTTGGATGCACTGTGTGTATGTCACAGTGTATTCGTGTATGTTTGTAGGTGTTTCGGTGATTGAGTCATTGAACGCTTGGTTCCGCCGGTCTCAGCGGACTTCTGTGTTTTCCCGAAGCACCGAGACCTGCGTAGTTTGAGGCACACGTCCTGCCCAGAACCCCCCACTGACATTTGAGGATGCTCTATCCTCGCTACCTTTTCCCATCAGTTGTGACCTCAGCTTCTGGCACGGGATTCCTGCCGATGATGGTCCTCTCTTGTAGGTCTCTAGACTTGTCCACACTCGCACCCTTAGCTATTATTGTTGTGCAACATTCCTGTGGCCCAGAAGTACTGATCTCGCAATTCTGACGCCGCACATACCCAGTTTCTGATTCTGATGGCATGGCTCGATCGCTCCGAGGTCTCACACTGGTGGTGGATTCCTTCCATCCCGAAGTGGCTCCGGCCTTGCAGGTGGCAGACTTGGCCTTCCTTTGAGATCGTTGAGGGCCTCGATGAGCCACGGAAAATGATCCGGATCCAGGAAGCTGGAGCCGATGTTCCCTGAAGCCCGCCTTGCCAGGAGGCAGCTCGCCACGGCGACCTTCGCGCCGTAGAGAAGGCTTTGAGCGCCCCTGCAGACCCGAACCAGGCTCGCCGGCTTTCGAGGAAGTTGCTGTCTGTCTAACATAGATCCAGAATCCGCGCTGGGCGCTCTGATTGGCATTGGCGCTAGGAGAACCTCGGCTTCTGCGGATAAGGAAGAAACCAGGTTGTTATGCAGTAGTCTCCCTTCTATATATTGGCGAAAACATGTCGTATTTAGACATAGACCAAAGACGTACGAGGCTTCACTGGCTCAGTCGCACCCAGTGGGAGGGGTCATTTGATCGTTTCGTGTGTAGTGCGGGAAAGAGAGGGTCTGAATGCCTAGAGAAACCTGGCACGAAGCAAAGACGAACCCGGGCCCTGGCGGCATCGACATCCGTCCCCCCCCCCCTGTGAGGCCGACGAGCATGGTTGGACTCCGCTGATAATGGCCGCGCACGCCGGGCACGGGGAGGCCACTGCCTTTGTTTGAATTCGTAGCGATGCAGGTCCCAGCTCGAGGGACTCGGGATGTCTCACAGCAGCCCTGGACAACGTCAGAGCCGAGAGCGCATTGGCTTCAGGTCCTGCGTCTCCTCCACCGCGCCAGCGCGAACCTTGAGACTGCACAAATCTCAGCTTTGTGGTTGCTGCAATGTGACACGGAGTGCTTCATACACACACGCACACACAAAGCAAGTGGGTGTCGTGGTATACTTTTGTAAATGTGTAAACATGAAGTTAGTGAGCAACTGCCTGCATCGCAATGCAGTCAGCGTCGAACGGTGTGATCATCGGATTACTTTTTGTAGGCTGTGGATCATGTGAAAGCCGTGCTGTGCAGACCACGCCACACCGACGGACACCTTTCTTCGTCGCGTGCCAGAGAGGGACACTCGTCTCTCAGGAGTTTGTGCGGTTTTGTTTTCAGATTTGTCTTCGGCTGAACTTGTGTAGATCCTCTAAGAGTTGGGCACTACAGGTCTGCCCAGTAGCCCGAAATCTTCTGCAGCTTCACAGGGCAGGGAGGTGCAGTGTCGGGTTGCCTCGCGATGACAGAACGATCTCTCCTGATGCCAGTAGCGCAGGCATGTGGAAGCTGCAAGGGTGCCTTGGCTGAGAAATGTCGGTCCCCGTTCTTCTCTCTTCAGAGTCGACAACTCGACCTGAAAGCCGAGGTTCTTTGTGAGCTTGGAGCGAACAAGGAGAAAGCAAGGACAAGTTTGCACGACGTAAGCACTAACATATTGGGGAAAAATTACCCAATATATTAGTTATTCGGCACGGCCGGTCGTTCCTCGAGTCTTCGTTGCTCTCGCTGGAAGGACAGGTGGCTACACTCCGCTCCTCATCGCGTGCCGTGAGGGTCCACCGTCCCACGGGCTTGCTACTGGTAGCCGCTAGCTAGCCCTTGCAGTCGTTTTGTTGCAGCGACCGCCTGTACATGTGAGCACAGCATCAGCAGTCATTGTGAAGTTTGACGGCTAGCTGAGAATCGGGATTGCCTAGAGTCTAGCGATGCCGCTAGGCCATGCGCCGGTGGTCAAGCTTCTATGCGAGATGCGAGCAGACAAGGCCACTTCCGGAGCGTTTGGGAAGCAATTCTTTCGGTGGTCCGGCCTGGTTTGAACTCCCAAACAGAGCCATAAGCAAAGCGATGTTCGAACAGGAGCATGCAGCCATGCATGGTTGGACACCACTGCTCCTCGCGGCGCGACATGGCCACAATGCTGTGACAAAGGCAAGATTGGTGAATGAATGTTTGTGAATCAGAGAATCGGGTGTGCTGCCTTGCCGAGAGAGTCAACCTTGGCTTGTCACTCTGGTTGTGTATGCCCTGCCTCAGCACAAATCGCATCAAGGCATGGTCTGGCTGTTGCATGTATGTAGGTATGTATGTGTCATATACGTATACGTATACGTATACATTTGCAGACATCGGTACCTTTTTGTCCCTCTCCCTCTCCCTGTCTCCCCCTATGCCTCGCCGTCTCTCTCTCTCTCTCTCTCTCTCTCTCTCTCTCTCTCTCTCTCTCTCTCTCTCTCTCTCTCTCTCTCTCTCTCTCTCTCTCTCTCTCTGTCTCTCTCTCATTCTCTCTTTCTCTACATTGGCTTGCATCATCTTGCATCAATATATGTCTTAGCAAACATGAGTGCAGATACAAATGAACTTAAGCATTAATACAGATATATACAGATATTCAAATTAATACATCAGTATTAAGTATACATACACACACATATATATATATACACACACATGTGTAGGTGTGTGTGTGTGTGCGTGTGTACATGCACAACTGAGTATACGTATGTAGATGTCCCAGTTTGTGCAGTTCTTCGTCGTAGATTCTGGCTCTGAGCACCAAAGCGTGTTTTGGCCTCGGCGTGTGTTTCGTCACATCTGAGAAACTCTGCCATGATGCTTCTGAGCTGCACGGAAATTGCAGAAAAAGCTCCACGCAAGAAAAGAGGCTTTTCGATGCACGCTGGTGTACCAGCAAGAAACAACGTAGCACAGATGCCATGGTCTCACGTACATAAATAATGTCAGTCGGTCACACGCTCCCGTTCCCTGCCATGGTGCGTGGCGCTGCTTGAGCCTCCCTGGGCATGTTTCATGAAGTAAGCGACGCCTCCCCATCCCTGCTGTCTGTGACTCCACGAGGCAATTCACCGACACTCTCGCCAATTATTGGACTGTCTCTGTGCAGCCCGGTTCACATCGTACTGCTTGGGGACAGCACGCTTGACAACAGCCGGCATGTCGATGTTTCCATTCAAAAGCTCCTGGTCGCAGAATGCTCGGCCATGGGTTGGGAATGCACATTCTTAGCACAAGATGGCGCAAACCTGGACGACGTGGCCATGAAGCAGCTGGGACGCATCCCAGACTCTGCAACTCATGTGATTCTCTCCGTATCTGGGAATGACCTTCTCCGCCTGCTGAACGAGCTTTCCGCCGATTCCTTCGCCCCGAGAGCGGTTTACAAAGCAGTTACGGTCAGGCTGGACGAGTCTTGGTTCGACAGTGGCAGTTTTTCCTTCTTTTGAAAGCCGTCCGTCTTGGTTTTGTGATGTTTTGTGATACTTCTTGCTTCGGTTCCAAACCTGAGAAGTACAGTACAGTACCGAATGGTACAGCAAGGACATTTGCCAGAAGATGAAGCAGGTCCTTCAATCAGTGACATCCATCGGCTGCCATGTGGCATGCTGCACGGTGTATGCGCCGCAGTTCGATCAAGCGCCTGGGGCAAGCAACAAAGAAGATGGTTTGTGGCAGATCTGGCTGAAGTTGAAGACAGTGTGCATGGACAGGTTCGTGGTAGTAGTCTTCCTCCGCATCGAGAGGGCCTCCGAATCCAGCACCCAAATTCGGAAATCCGTGAGCTCCCATGCCAACAAGGTTGGAATTCACTCCTCTGACCGCCTGCTTACCAAGGCTTTTTTCTAGCACATGGGAAGCTACTGATTCCACGAAGAGCCTCCCTCACGTTCCGAGTCCTTTGCGATTTCGAGAGTGTGATACCTGGCCGAAAAACATCCTCCCAAGGTCCTTCTGAAAATGCTGGTTTCGACAAGTCTGGCCGTCCACAACGGCCGCATCCGCAGTCTTGCCGCATCCGAGTATGCTGACGTTTGCTCTTTAGATACGGACCTTCCAAGTTGAACTATATAAGTTGAGGCGTTAAGGTCCTGCAACAAGTCTTTTGCAGGATTCCTGCAAAAAGGAGGTTTGCATGGTGTCATGAAGATGACCCAGGTTGTACCTTCGATGGGATGGCGGAACTCATAGGGCTTGACGGGGCATCGCACAGAATTCCCAAGCAATCGTGCTGCGGTTGTCAGTGTTGTCCCCAAACTGACAGCACAGGCAAGATGGCTCGAGACATGGGCCTTTCCCTCATAGACTTGGCCTCCATCTGCACTCAGCCAAGCGACTTCGCCAATGCGCTTGAGCTGAGCACGAGAGGCTGGCAGCTGAACTCTTCACACTTTGTCTTCTTTCGCCGTATTCGAACTTAGGAAAAGTTAGAGGAGGATCTATGCTCCTTGAGTGTATTATTCAAATACATCGTCAGTATCCACTCAAACAATATTTATAATACATACCAGTACTGCCTTATCTCATAATACGGCCCAATTAACGAAACAGAAAGAATCGACACAACATTGATACACACGTAGTGCTTATCCAACGTTCAATTACGACATCAGCACCATGCAATATGTCATTGTGGTTTTCAAGCTTTCGTATGAGCAGCACTGCAGCACCCAGCCTAAGATTTGGACACAGAGTTTAGATAATATAGTGGGCTATGTGTCAACACCCTCCTTGATATGTAGCATCCAATCAGTAAGCACTCATTTACAGTATGACAACGTCAGCTATTTCAGTGCACGTTGGATTGTGAACCCACTTACTATTCACGTAACATTACTTGGATTCTGGAGTTCAAGCATTTTCCAGAAATAAATGCTTAATGATGACTCATCATTGGACTAGGTCTTAGCGGTGTATCGCAACTGAGGTAGATAGTCATACAGTGGGCAGTAGTCAGGCATTCGCCGAAGTTTTCGAGACGTTGACTACCCACTGGTTGAGCCGGAAACAAGAGCGACAAAGACGAACAGCAAAAACGTGTTGAAACATGCCAGGTGAAAGCAAGTTAAATGCGCAGCTTCAACGTTGATCGCAGTTTGTTGCATCTTTATGCATAGATCATGCTACTGCCTCTGCTGAGGTTCCAATGAAGGCTCGAGGCTATGCTTCAAGCTTGCAACCGAAAGCTAGAGGAACCCTGCCGACACATTGGGTGAAACATCACGGAAAGACTAGCTAACTTAGCAAAAGTCTCATAAGTGAACACCGGCCAAACACAATTTGAATGTGTATAGTTGTTAACACATGGGCATCAACTAGCGGTTGCTTTAACATTGAGACCTGTAAGTGAACATTTTTGAGCCGTATGTTACAAGTAGAAATTATCAGTCAGGTTCCGAATTTTTTGTCCTCAAGTAATTTGATTGCTATGTCAACATCAAATGTTGTATGCATATCAACTAGTTAGCTACCAGTTTAATCGTTTTATGCTGGTCGACAAGGAACGCTTTTTGTGGCTCCTTACAGGCGGCAGCAAGGTCGCTTCCAACCTTTGCCGCTTCGTGCGTGAGAACCCTCCGGAGCTTAAGCTGCAGAAATTTTCGGTGGCTGGTCTTCGGTTACTTTCCGTTGCTCGGGAACTTGCGGGGCGATCGTTTCTGACCTGCAGAAGGCAGTGAACTTTACAGTTTGTGGATCGAGCTCTCAGGAGTGCCTGCCACGCGCTGGCTTGCCACCAGAGAGCCGGCCGACTGGCATGTTGCTGAGCAGTTGGCAGCGCGGCCGAGATCAGACCTGGCGGGCTGTGGGTCTCAGATGATCGAAATGCCTTAAGTCATTCTCAAGACTCTGGTCGGACGATGAAAGGAAATGCGAGGGTAGGGTTCGTGGAGTTTCGGCTTCATGCTGAGGTTGCCCCAAGTCGCTTGCTGCACCTGTGCCGAGAAGACACGCCTCTACGCAGACCCCGAGGTTGGAGCTGAATGTGATGAAGACTTCGTGCATCTTTTGTGACCTGTCGTAGTGCCGCACATGTTTGTTGATAGCTTGTGGGGTGTTTTTTGGCGCCCTCTCCTCACGATTCTGTCACAACCCCCTTCTTTAGCAGGGAAATGTAAATGCATAGCGAGCTGCACAATCGTCTACAACTGCCAAACACAAAGCCTAAACTTGCCATTCATCGTCTGACTTTGAGAAGCACGATGTTTTAGAGCATCTTAGAGTATAGGCATCGTCAGACAGGGCAGTCTGTGCCTGTTCACTCCACAACCACGCCGTGAAAGTTATTCACTGTATGAGAGAGGCCGCTTCAGCGTCTAAGAGTCGAAGGAAGCTGACAGTCGTACTGTTTTACAAAGAAGTTACCCCCCGCTGCAGTGCCCGATGCAAAGGTCTTGGAGCTGCGTGTGGATGAGGAACAGCTGAAGTCTCGAAACTGCGCAGCTCGGCGCACATTTTGTGGAAGGACCTGTCCCCGACAGCCTAGCGCATCCAACAACCCAACCGCCGACATGGCTCCATGCGCGAGAGTCTGCATCTAGCACCTCGTGTGTGCCACCCTTTGCTACCGTTTAAGGCTGCATTCACACCGATCGATCGAGCTTCCTTGACTACGACTACCACACACTACCTGCAATTACTACCCGTGCCGAGGTGTCCGTGCAGCCCGTGGCCCAGAGCCCAACTACGCGTGAATTCTCACAAAAACAGGAGATTTGGCGCAGACGGAAGTGCTGAGATGCTGGAGAGTATCCAGAACCCAAACCGCGGACCCTTCCTGTGAGAGCTGCAGTGCATCAGGTCAAACGCGTGTATATCATGCAGTGCACTGCTCTGCAGGGTTTGATCCGCAGTTGGGGCCTGCGGCTTTCCTTTACATCGCAGAGGGCAGCTCGGAAAGTGTAGGCAGTGTAGGACTAGGTCGTCGGACCTGTAGCTTTGTAGGTCAGAAAACTCAGTCGACGCGAGCCGGAGAAAACACTGCTTTGTGATGGTTGAGGGGTTGTTGATGTTGCTGCACCAACCACCACCAACAACAACATTTCCCGCCCTGGTAGGTGCTACAGCAAGCGGGAGTGGATACCTGCAGGCGGGGGCCGGTACACTAGGCTTCACACACAGGCGTCAAGGGTGCGAAGGAAACTGTGATCGGCTGTTGCTGTTGA